CTTTTCTCCTACAGCTGTTTGTAGGGCAAAATACCAGCAAAACAAGCAAACCCAGCCCTAACTGGTGAGTAAACCATGCCCGGTCCCTTTTCATAATGCCTCTGGGATATGTCTCAGAGACAAAACCAACTTTCCGTTCAGCTTTCTCCCAAGAAATTCCACCTCAGGCACAGAAGTTCTTGACCATTCCTTGAGTTCACTGCACCCAACAACCAGGGGAACTAGGGATTAACACCCAAATGTGTGCAAATGCCAACTATACTGGGGGGGGGGGTGTTAGGGGTGTGCATTCGCATTTCCCCAAGCCGAAAATATACCCGAAAAATATATTTCGGCATCCCAAAAGTATCCAGGATTTTTCAGGGAAACTGGGGGGGGGGGAGAATCCTGGATATTTTGGGGGATTATAAGATCAGGGGAAACAGCGTCTCAGCAGTTTTCCCCTGCTTTCTTTTCCAGTCCCTTTAAACCAGCCCATTTTTGTATTTAAAAAGGATTACAATTAAAAGCAAAAGGAGGGTCTCCTTTTGACTTTTCACATCAGGTGTGAAAAGGCTGATTTAAAGGGACTGCAGAAAAATCAGGGAAAACAGTTGAGAGGTGGGGAAACTGCTCCTGGCATTTCAGCTGTTATCTCCCGCTTTCTTTTGCAGTCCCTTTAAACCAAGCTAGTTTAAAGGGAGTGCAGAAAAATTGGGGAAAAAAGCTGAGAGGTGGGGAAACTGCTCCTGGCATCTCAGCTGTTATCTCCCCCTTTCTTTTGCAGTCTCTTTAAACCAGGCTGGTTTAAAGGGACTGCAGAAGAAATTGGCGGGGAAACAGCTGAGAGGTGGGAGCAATGTGCTCCAGCCGTTCAGCTGTGTCTTGTGGCTTTACTGCTCCTTGGTCGTCGTCGTCGTCTTCCAGGTTTTTTCATCTCAGGTCTACTGGAAATTAGGATTTCTGAAAAATCCTGGATCCAAATACTTTGCCAGTATTGGAAACCAAATTTTTCAGAAATCCCAAAATTTTGGGGAGCCCACAGACCCAAAACCGGGAAAGAATTGCCCATCCCTAGTGGTGGTTATGATCAAGTAGCATACATTAGAATGGGGAAACCACAATCGGGGGGGGGGGAGAACACAGCCTTGTCACAGAACAAAACCTAAATCTCAGAGAGCAGAATCACTCCAGGCAGCTGGAGTTTCCCCCTGCCCCGAGTTAAAACAGCTTCTTGCATCTGCCACCCAGGGACTGGAACTCATTTTTCTGCTCTACTAGAGACGGCAGTTCCAATTTGCGATAACGATTTTGCTGCTGGAAGCCAAAGGATGATTGGTTTCAAGAGGGAATTAGATAAGCATATGGAGCAGAAGTCCATCAGTGGCTATTAGCCACAAGGTATAGATAGGGACTCTCAGGCTGGGGCAAGGGATGCTCTGTCTCCTTGGTGCTTGGGGGGGGGGGGCGGACAGTGGGAGGGCTTCTAGTGTCCTGGCCCCACTGGTGGACCCCCTCATGGCCCCTGGTATTTTTGGCCACTGTGTGACACAGAGTGTTGGACTGGATGAGCCATTGGCCTGATCCAACATTGGCATCTCTTATATGTTCTTACGTCAAGCATGGACGGCGTCAAGAGGGAATTAGACAAACATGGAGCAGAGGTCCATCCGTGGCTATTAGCCCCAACATATAGATAGGAACACTCGGTCTGGGGCAAGGGATGCTCTGTATTCTTGGTGCTGGGGGGGGGCAACAGTGGGAGGGCTTCTAGTGTCCTGGCCCCACTGGCGGACCTCCTGATGACACCTGGTATTTTTGGCCACTGTGTGACACAGAGTGTTGGATTAGACAGGCCATTGGTCTGTCTAGTGATCCAACATCGGCTTCTCTGATGTTCTTGTTTTTACGATCATCCGTGCAGCCACGAAGGGGTTAAATCCATGCATATGCAGATTCTATAAGAGCAGGGGGCTGGAAGCACACAGGCGGACATTCCCCAAACAGCAAACCCATGAGAGAAATTATGATGGGGGGGTGGGACTGGGTGGGAAATCAAGCCGCTCTACAACAAAGTCTATTCTGCAGAGGAAGGCAGGAAAACTCTCTGGGCCATTAGCCAGCCCGGCAAACAGAACAACTGCTCTCCTTTACTTATCATCCCCTGATGCCAGTATTTGCATCCTCAGCTCTCTTCGTTATCTCCGGCTGCAGCTCAGCAGCAGCTCGCAGGTCCAAGCTGGGGCATGTTCGCTTTGAAAGGCATTCGGGGTGCAGAATTAGAAAACGGAGTTTCAGGGGGCAGCCGTATTGGTTCGCTGTAGAACAACCGGATTCACAGCACTGTAGGGACCAGCAAGATTTTCAGCGTATCGGCCTGAGTCAAAGCTCCCTTCGACAGACTTCGGTCTGAAAAGGGAGGTCATCAGATCCTGGAGAGCTGATCCACTTACACCACTCCACACTTTGCTCAACGAACCAAGGGTTGGATTTGGCATAATGCAGCTTCGTCGATCAGTTACATTCAATGTAAGCCAGTTCGGTGTAGTAGTTAAGAGCAGTAGATTGAGGTTTATAAGATTATGCATGGGAAAGAGCAGGTAGAGAAAGAGGTACTTTTCTCCCTTTCTCACAATACAAGAACTCGTGGGCACTCCATGAAATTGCTGAGCGGTCGGGTTAGAACGGATAAAAGGAAGTCCTTCTTCACCCAAAGAGTGATTAACACATGAAATTGACTGCCACAGGAAGTGGCGGCGGCTACAAGCATGGATGGCTTCAAGAGGGAATTAGATAAGCATAAGGAGCAGAGGTCCATCAGTGGCTATTAGCCACAAGGTATAGATAGGGGCTCTGGGGCAAGTGATGCTCTGTCTTCTTGGTGCTTGGGGGGGGGTCAACAGTGGGAGGGCTTCTAATGTCCTGGCCCCACTGGTGGACCTCCTGATGGCACTGGTATTTCTGGCCACTGTGTGACACAGAGTGTTGGACTGGATGGGCCCTTGGCCTGATCCAACATTGGCATCTCTTATGTTCTTATGTTCTTATGTTAGATTCTAATCTAGAGAACAGGGTTTGATTCCCCACTCCTCCACATGCAGCCAGCTGGGTGACCTTGGGTCAGTCACAAGTTCTCTCAGAGCTGTTCTCTCACCGAGCAGTCCTCAAAAGAGCTCTCTCAACCCCACCTACCTCACCGGGTTGCCTGTTGCGGGGAGGGGAAGGGGAGGGAGATTGTGAGCCGCTCCGAGACTCCTTCGATTAGTGAACGGCGGGGTACAAATCCAACCTCTCCTCTTCAAACAGCTAGATTTGAGTCCAGTAGCACTTTAGAGACCAGCAAGATTTTCAGAGTATAAGGCATCAAGAGTCAAAGCTTTCTAGTATCTGACGAAGCGAGCTTTGATTTTCATATACCCCAAAAACCTTTTCGGACTCTAAGGTGTTAGGTGAAGGTAAAGGTTTCCCTTGCTCAAAAGTCAGTCGAATCGAACTCTAGGGGTTGCGGTGCTCATTTCCATTTCCAAGACGAAGAGCCAGCGCTGTCCGAAGATGTCTCCGTCGTCATGTGGCCGGCATGACTAAACGCCGAGGTGCACAGAACGCTGTTACCTTCCCCCCAAAGCGGTACCTATTTATCTACTTGCAGTTCCTTGCTTTTGAACTGCTAGGTTGGCAGGAGCTGGAACTAGAGAGCTCACTCCGTCATGCGGCACACTCGGGTCTCGAACTGCCGAACTACCGGCCTTCCGGTCTGCAGCTCAGCGTCTTAACCTCCGAGCCTCTGAGGTGTTACTGGACTCCAATCTAGCTGTTCTATCTACCTGAACAGTGTTAGTCATGCCTGGGAATCCCTCCAAGGATATCGCAGGAGCGATTCACTTAATCCTCCAACGTGCGCAGGTTAGAGGGGATTAGCTTTCAAGCACGACGGCAAACTTTACCAAAACATACTGATGACTGAGCGGTGGGGGACACTCCCCGATGGAACATCTGGGGAGCTCTGAGAACTCCCAGGCAAAACCCTGTGACCACAATGACGTTTTTAAAAAACTTGTTTTTGCAACATACCCCACAGACAAATGGTGCCCGTTATTGCAGATTCAGAGAGATGATCTAATATAAGGAAATTGGATTCAGGTGCCAGAACCGCTACATCGGATGAACACTCAATGCGAAACCGGTCGGGTTGGATCTCACAAATCTGTTTCACCAGAGGTGGCCGTTTCCCCCAGAGCCGGCAGCCTTCCCCGGGCACAAGAGCCTCTTGCGTCAACGGAAGTCTCTTTAGGAAGGACTCTGGGGACACCAGAGAACAGGAGGGGTTGGGAGGCACGGAAAGCTTGCCGTCCTCTGGGTGTGGCACGCTCCTTGATTTTTTAATTTAATATATTTCAATCCGAAAGATTTAGACACCTCCGCCTTCCTCCCGGTGAGAGGACTCGGGGAGGTAACAAGAATTGAACAAAAAACACACACAGATACAGGGGTCGTTTGGGGCCAGAGCGGCCGGAGCACTGCTTCGGCGGCCCAGGGATGGGCACAAATGGTTGTGGCTGCAAGCCCTGCCCCCAGCTCCCCACGCCAAAGCGCTATGGCCCGGGGGAGGCCTGAAGAGACCCGCCGCTGGCTTCCCCAGGCCCGCGCAGAAGCGCTGCCACCCGGGAGAGGCCTGGAGAGCCCTGCAGCCAGCTTCCCCGGGCCCATGCTGAAGAGCTGCGGCCCAGAGGAGGCCTAGAGAGCCCTGCAGCCGGCCTCATTGGCGATCTGAACTGGTTGCCCCCTGTGTGGGACAGGATGCTGGACTAGATCGACCACTGGCTCTGACCCAGCAGGGCTCTTCTCATGTTCTTAAACTCGTTGGCCATCTGGAGGAACTGGTTGGCCCCTGTGTGAGACAGGATGCTGGACTAGATCGACCATTGGTCTGACCCAGCAGGGCTCTTCTCATGTCCTCAAGGTAATGGGAGAGGAAAAGAATTAAACGGAATCAATGGTTTAGGGCCGAAACCGGGACTTACCCTTTTCGCCAGCTCCCAGAGACAACCGCTGGAGATCCTTTGCCTCTCTTGAGCTCTCAACGTCGTCGTTGTCGTCGTCCACCTGGGCTTCTATGATGACGTCCGGGCTGTCAGCATCCCCTTTGGCTGGGTTGTTCACAACGGAGGCACCGGGTGGATTCCTGGGGGCATCTGATTCTTGAGCGGCTTCTGCTTCGTGGTCACCACCCTCAGGCTTGATTACCTAAAGCGTAACAAGGAAGAAAAGACGGGTTCTGATTACAGAGACCGGGAAGACTCTATGCAACATCTGGAGGAGGGGGGAAACCAAGACTCCTTTGCTCTTGTGTGACACCTCCGGCATGAAGCACTGGCTGTTCTTTCAGGATTCAAACTCAAAGGTCCCAGCAAACTACCTCAAAAACATAAATGGTGTGAAAAGCCCGTGGTTCAAATAAGATCATAACCATTCAAACACAGATATCTGAAGAAGTGAGTGGTGACTCACGGAAGCTCTTCCCCCGCCACATATTCGGTTCGTCTTCAAGGGGCCACTGGACTCTTGCTCTTTTCCACTGCTAACCAAACCGGTATGAATTGAATTATGCAAAAGAAGGAGGAGTTGTGTGTTTTAGACCTCCACAGCCTTTCCCCATACAGGCCCCAAAGAGCACTTCGGTCGGGGTCACAACACCGCCTAGTGACCCCAAGACCTAAAGAGGCCAGGCTTGCTGCCACAAGGGCCAGGTCCTTTTCGGTGGCGGCTCCTACCTGGTGGAATGAGCTCCTGGAGGAGATCAGGGCCCTGCGGGACCTTTTACAGTTCCGCAGGGCCTGCAAGACGGCGCTCTTCTGCCAGGCTGTTAATTAGGAGCCACCGCCGCCACTATCACCACCGTCGTGTACTGCAGAGCAGTGCCGTCGGGGTGGGCTGATTAGCCATCCGGAACATCTCGGCCCATGGCATGCCCCCCTTTCTTCTGACCTCACGGTGATATATAATAATGAGTGAGTATTTTAATTATCGATGCGTCCTGTAAGATTGAATTGTGTTTGAAGTGGTTAATTGCGTAATTTTATCGCACTTTGGGTCCCTACATTGTTTTAATTGTGTTGTATTTTATTGCACTGTTGTGCCTATGTAAGCCGCCCTGAGCCCGCGTGCGGGGAGGGCGGGGTATAAATGAAATAAACAAACAAACAAACAAACAGCACCAAAACTGAGATCTCCTGGCTCTGCTGTGCACCTTCCAAAGCTCACCGGAAGAACCTTGTTGTAACACTCTTCCGTGAGCCCTCCCGCACCAGAACAAGGATTGGGGAGAGCGAAGCGTCAGCCTTGTGAAACGGAGACCCGTGCCATTCTGTGAGGTCCCAAAGGTATTCGCACCAAAGGAACGCGGAAGGCAGACATGGCAGCAACTGGGAGCGTTGCCCTGGAACAGCCCCGCAGATCCCGGCTTTTATACGCACCGCCTCCGGGGGTGTCAGGCGTTTATGAGACTCAAACTTAATTACACGACGTGTTTCTATCACCGTGGCTTGTACTTGCAGCAGTTCTTAAAAAGAGCTATAATTATTGCGGAGATGCCAATTCGAGGAACTCAAGCGGCTTTTCGTGGAGGACGGTGTAGAAAAAGAGCAGGCGGCTCCTGCCCGTTGGGGGCCCTGCCTGCGTCAAAGATTTCCTATAAAGCTGGTCGGCACGTGCGCTCCCGAGCTCCCAGCTTTGCCAGAGGAAATTGCTACCCAGGGCTGTTTAAGTGGCAAGTCCTGTGACTGCCCGGCGGCTGTCCCCCTCTCTCTCTCTCTCTCTCTCAGCCAGTTCTCCAACCCACCTGCAGTGCTTCGGGGAGGGGTCGTGGCAAAGCATCTGCTTGCCATGCAGGAGGTCCCAGGTTCAACCCCTGCAATCTCCAGTTTAAAAGACTAGGTAGTTCATAGAATCATAGAGTTGGAAGGGACTCCAGAGTCATCTAGTCCAACCCCATGCACAATGGGGACCCAAAATCTCCTGGATATTCCAGGCCCCAGGAACATCAAACCTGCTGTGACCAGGGCCAGGGCGTTTTCCGTGGCGGCTCCTACTTGGTGGAATGAGCTCCCAGAAGAGATCCGGGCCCTGCGTGACCTTGGGCCTGTAAAACGGAGCTCTTCCGCCAGGCTTTCGAGTAGGAGCCGCCGCCACCATTATTCCACCAACACTTTTCCATCACTGCACCGCACAATGCGGATACTATCGGGGGTGTGAGACGTACCTGGCGGATGATAGGGTTGTGGGGACATACGGTCGTTGTATTATTATAACATCTGTAGAACACCATCTTGATTTTAGGAATTGGAGAGAGCAGCGGAGCACCGATATTTTATTAATTGTATTGTTGTATATTGTATTGCATTTTTATACTGTTTTTATTGTTTTATTAGGCACTTGTGCCCCTGTTAGCCGCCCTGAGCCTCCGGGGAGGGCGGGATACAAATTTGAAGAATAAAAATAAATAAATAAATAAATAATGCAGGACATTCACAAATACCCCCCCTCCACACCCCCAGTGACCCCTGTTCCATGCCCAGAAGATGACCAAACCCCCCCCCCAGGATCTCCAGCCAAACTGGTCTGGAGAAAAACTGCTTCCTGACCCCAACGTGGCAATCAGCGTTTCCCTGGGCGTGTAGGAAAAGGGCCATGAGAACTAGGCACTTATGCAACCCTTCCTGGCCTCCCTTCTCGTGATCTGCCTAAGTTCACAGAATCGGCATTGCTGTCGGGTGGCCATCTAGCCTCTGCTTGAAAACCTCCCAAGGAGGAGAGCCCACCACTTGGCGGCTGGCAATGTGAAAGACCTGAGACCCTGAAGAGCTGCTTCCAGAAGTAATCAGTTCTGACCTTGATGGACCAAGGGTCGGATTCAAGGGTCCAAAGGACCAAGGGTCGGAGCGGTGGCGCAGAGGATTTATCCTCTGGTTAACATCTGAACTGAACAGAGCTGCTGTCAGTTCTAGCCCGCACTGGTGTGAGCTAACAGCCTTGTCCCCAGCTCGCTGTCAACCCAGCGGTTCAAAAGCTTCGGCGAGTAGATAAAATGGGTACCACTCTTTAGAGAAGGGTGGGCACACTAAACCCCCATGGGGAAGGTCCAGCTCGGAAGCTCGGAAGCCTGGGAAAAAGACCTCTTCGGCATTAAGAAGCCTGTGATGAGCCAATCCGGCCAGGCGGTGGCAGTGCGGCACTACAGCTCAAAAAAGCAGTCCTGGAAGAACTGACGTCATCTAGCCACGCCGGAAAAAAAGTGAATGCCGTCCGGAACACGCCTGAAGCTTACAGCTCAACAAAATCCCCGTCGGCTGCAAAAGTGTGCGATTTAATGAATTATATGTTGTCCTCCCTTACCCTATGAAACATTGTTAGTCCCTTGTGAAAACTTGTGTAACTGTAAATCGCTCAGAGCCAGCAGCTCTGCAGGATGAGCGATCAATAAAATCGAAAGGTATTATTATTATATTCAGTATAAGGCAGCTTCATGTGTGTTTGGAGAGGGGCCGTGGCTCAGTGGTAGAGCATCTGCTTGGAATGTAGAAGGTCCCAGGTCCAATCCCAGGCATCCCCAGTTAAAAGGATCCAATAATAGGTGATCTGAAAGACCTGGGAGAGCCACTGCCAGGTCAGAGTAGACAATTCTGATCTTGATATTCCAAGGCTTCGATTCAGTATAAGGCAGCTTCATGTGTTCACATACCAATTCCTGCTCAATCCTTGTTAGCGAAAGAACATCTACACCTTGCAGCTCCTTGTTTTTCTCTTTTGCAAATGCAGCTTCTGGGACTGTAGTTTTGTGTAGTGGTTAAGAGCGGTGGACTCCAATCTGGAGAACCCGGTTTGATTCCCCACTCCTCCACATGACGCCAGCTGGGTGACCTCGGGCCAGTCACCATTCTCTCAGAGCTCTATCAGCCCCACCTACCTCACAGGGTGGCTGTTGCGGGAAGAGGAATGGAAGGAGACTGTAAACTGCTCTGAGACTCCCGAGGGAAGGGCGGGGTATAAATCCAACTCCTACTCCTCTTTTCTTCTTCTTCTTCCTCCTCTTCTTCCTCTCCTCCTCCAGAAGTGTGGACAGTGGGGAATGGGAAACATTAACCCTTTCCCTCCCCTGCCATTCTCTCAAAGGAAAAGCCCACCTAAGAGCTGCCTCCACCTTTCAGCCAGTTGCACAGGGTGATGCTCTTCCTCCCAACCCCTGGCCACCTGGAGTGGCCCCCAGGAAGGGGGGGAAAAGTTGGCCACTGCGGCCACAGTCGGGCAGAACATGACCTCTTCCAGGCTGAAACAAGTCACAGGGTGCATTCAGACGGGCCGTTTAGCCCGCTTTTGGCCCGCCTCAGAAACGGATTTTATCTGCGCGATCACATGGCCAACATCTGCCTCCTGTCCCTAGCTGTCGCTTTCCGGCTCAAAACCGCTTTAACCTGGAGTATTTTGATACCAGGTCCCCGAGTGGTGTTTTCCTGATTCTCCGGTTCCAGCTACACTTTTCTGACATCCGATCACTCCTGCGGTGTCGAGCCACTTCCGGTTTAAACCCCCTCCCCACTCGAAAGCTGCCCGAGGCTTCCGCTTTTTGCCTACCATAGTTTTTTTAAAGCGTTGGTGGTGTGCGCATAGGTGGAGCTCCACCACCGCGTTATTAAAAACAATGTTTAAACGGTACCTAATTTTAGCGTTTAGATGAGTTTGGGATCTCACAGAGGCCATTTTCTGGGTAAACATTTAAAGGGAAGTGTTCCTTTAAAGTTTAAAGGGAAGCGTTACAGCAGTCAGGTTGAAGTGGAACTAGCTGTTCTGCGCACGTGTGAAAATTTTAGTTCTACAGATGGCTCCCTGTGTGCATGCCCAAAATGAGAGAGAGAGAGAAAAAAACAACACTGACGCACACTCCCGCCTGTGAACAGCAGGGAGCGATGTGGCTGCGCAGCGATCCAGAGCAAGGAGGCGAGTGTGATCGCGAATCTCCGTTTTTTTTAAAAAAAACCACATCGGGGCCTGAGCAGTTTAACCCGCTCCCAGAAAGCTGTCTGACCGCACCCACAGAATCAAATCCACACCACTCACACAGCAGGCAAGTAAAGAAAACAAGAGCGTGCTTGGGGGGGGGGGCAGGAGGGCCACACTAACACCAAAACCAGAAGTGCTGGAGAGGAAACGGATGGAGGTTAGATCCGAAAAACACCAACCTGGCTGCAAGG